GCTTAACGCAATCGCCAGGCCATGTCCGTTGTGTTTTTTGCTCAACTATTTATATAGTTCTGTGATGCATTGTGGGTAGTCTATTGTATTGACTGTCTCCTCTGGGTTTTAAGTTCAATGTCGACTTTTATATATATATATATATATATATATATATATATATATATATATATTATTGCTTGGTTAGTAACAAGTCAATGAAAATGCAATCTCTGAATGTAAAACTGTGGTGATCGCAACGGAAAACCACTCCGTTGTCTTTCCCAATAGTCAAGACAATGCATAGTATTAAAAAAAGAAAATTTTGAAGAGCCATGATCACCTATGTGTTGATAGGAAATTATCTGTGATATAAAAGTTTAAACTGAGATAGATAGATAGATTAACCAGTTCGCACTTCTTCTCCATCTTTTGAACAGGAGTAGACGTTTATCCCTTTTCCTGTTTAGGATTGGGTTTCCGGTTCCTTTTCCTAAATGCTTCTCATTCTCTGTCTTAGTGGCATTATCGCCTTACTTAGGATGAAATGTTTAATTAGTAATTTCTACATGGCTAGCCTTGAAAATAAGATATTTAACATCACTAAAAAACATCCATCTACCTAAGATATGTAGATGATATTTTACGTATTAGCAAAAAAAAAATAAATAAATAAATAAACGAAATACTTGAACTACAAAAAAAACTTCCCAAAAAACTCCGTTCTTGAATTCACATATGAACTTAATAACAAAATTCTTTTTCTTGATGTATTGATAGACACCAATGAAAATACATTTACTATCTCCCCATATAAAAAAAGAAACTAGCATAAACACGTGCACTCTCAACTATAAAAGTGAATGTCGTAACTATTACGAAACAGCGATTATACGAAATTTAATAAACCAAGCAAATTTTCTGCACTCAATTTAAAAAAGATTAAAATCTGATTAATAATGACTGTCCTAATTATATTGGTGATGGACAAATTAGACGAACTATGAAGAATATTCTTTTCAGATCACTTAGTCGTAAACAACTCATCATTAGGCAAGCATTGTTGATTAAATACCATTCTCCCGCTATCAATCTTACACTATCTAGTAGTGGAGACGGCGTGTTAAAGGTTTTCTAAAAATAGAAGTGATGCCCAGTTCAACCGGCCGCGCATAGCACGTGACCGCCGAAAAAAGCATATAACCTCACCGCACGATCTCCATGCAGCTAAGCAACTATGTAAAAGACAACACACAGAAATTCATCATCCAAAAATCATCCTTGATAATTGTTATAGAACTATTCAAAAGCGCTTGGAACAGTTCTATCTATGGACAATTTCTATCTTCTTTGACATCTGAAAAACGGAAAAAATGTTAGAATGCTGGAAAATCTCAAAAAAGATTAAATAAATCTTTCTTGTCGGCTGTTATCAATGAAAGATGCTTGAAAAAATACACATTAATATATATATATATATTTAAATAAGTTTTTCGTGGTACAGAATTTAATAATAGAAAGGAAAAGACAAAAAGAAGGCATTTTTAAAAACAAAAGCTAAAATAAAAACTACCGGTTTCGTCCCAGGACTTATCAAGTTTATTTATTCTGGGAATTTAAAAGCGTGTAAATTAATTTTAATTAACGAATGTAATTAAATGGGAAGAGAGAAAAAAAATTATGAATTTCAAGAGACTAGAGTCCAATAATATTCAGACCCAAATCTGCTATTGGTGAACATTTAATAAATAGAAGGGAACGTGTAGAAATTTTAGTGGTGACCGATTTATTATTTTATCTAGGTCCCACTCCACATTTCACCTCAAGGTCCTGGAGTCCTTGTATATCAGATCTCGTGAGCCTTCCCTTTGTAAACAGAGGAATGCTTGCTGGTCCGAACATTATTGAGAAAAAAGTCTCTTGAAATTCATGATTTTTTTCCCCATTCAATTACATTTTTTTAATTAGAATTAATTTACATCTTTTAAATTTCCAGAATAAATAACTGATAAGTCCTGGGACAAACCGGTTGTTTTTTGTTTTAGTTTTTTGTTTTTAAAAATGACTTATTATTGTCTTTTCCTTTGTATTATATATATATATATATATATATATATATATATATATATATATAAACACAAGTACACATCAAGTGCTCCAGACCAGTTACAATCTGCGCCGTGCTTCAGCAAAGTTTCGGTCCATTAAGCTCAGTCCCTTTCCACACGGTGGGCCCGCAACAGCTGGATGATGTTACATTACAACCGGTCTTGAAATATTGTTAAATATATATCTGTATATATATTAAAACATATTGTTAAATATAACAGACAAAGAATGTCTATTATATCTGATCATGAGCCGTTCTAAACTTCGTATAATGCCTTTAGTTTCGGGAGAAAATAAAGACAAAAACTGTCCAACATTTGTATATTTTTTTATTATGCTGTTCTTCGATCTCAGCTTTCGGCTGACATGTTTTTGCAACCCACGCGCCATTTTGTTTTAGCAGCCCACACTCAGTAAAAATTACATTTCAAACCAGTCACAAGATATTACAATGCATTTAAACAAGCGGCCCTGTTGATAAAATTTCTTACTCTCATGTGGTTATATACGACCTCATCGAACCGCATTACGAACTTACGACCTACGGCTTCTTTTCTGCGACCGTTATAGTCGGATAGGAAACTTTTATGTAAACATAACAGGATGTCATCTTTGATGGTGAATATCTCTGTTATAATGTCCATATAAACACTCTGATGATGGCCCATGTGAGCCGAAACCTTAGATAGAGGAACGGAATAATAAAAAAAAATCCAAATGTTGGACAGTTTATGTTTTTATTTTCTCCTGAAACTAACGCCACTATACGAAGCTTAGAACGACTTTTGATCAAACATAATATACATTCGTAGTCGGTTATATTTAAAATTATATGTCTGAATAATGATCTGCTGCCCAATAAACTATATATATATATATATATATATATATATATATATATATATATATATATATATATATATATATGTATAATTAGCTCTTGAAAATATATTTCAATTGAGCAATGTTGAGTGACAGGCTAATTCTATAAATAAGAGACACCTGCGTTAATGCAAAGCTCTTTAGTAAAATGAATTGAAGCACTCCAGCTGATTGGCATTTGTTTACATACGTAAAGACAATACGTTAGATTTAGCCGCCTCTCTCTGTCGAATGAAGATAGCTCAGTGGTAGAAACTCTAACACCAAATCGGCTGGGTTTCTATCAGGGCTTGAGGTAGTTCTGTTTATATATATATATATATATATATATATATATATATATATATATATATATATATATGCTGTTTTTATATAAATTATTGATATATTATATATATGCGCGTTACTTATTAGAAAGCGCTCAATATCAGTGATAGACCTAACACCGCAACTGGCACAATCCAATATTGAATACGGCGATCAAATGTGTACGTATGTACGCAACGACACATGGATGCGTATATATGCCCAGTCCCACACTGTTCACATATGTTTATGTTCGTGTGAGCGTACGTGTATGTATGTCTGCGTACATCAATGATTGAACGTGCGTGAATGTATGTTTGCGTACGTGTGAGTGAAGTCCCGATGACTATTTTTCCTCCCTCTAACATAAAAACACCGCTATATGCATCCATATATAAATCCAAAATTTAATAATAAATCAGTTTCTCTGACGATCACACCAATCGAACTATATATATATATATACACACATATATATATATATATATATATATACATTAAGAATTGGACAAAGTCCGACAATTTATTAAAGACATTTTTATGTTTAACATTCTTTTTATAGAAACAAGTATTTAAGTAAATGCTCTGTTTATAATAAACAGTATTAAATAACATTTACCGGCCTGAATGTCCGAGAAATTTTTATAGAAAATATTCGTCCTTTGACAGGATTCGAACCTGCATCCTATACGGAACCGTCTTTTACGCTGACGTGCCTTAACCGACTCGGCCACAAAGGAGCGTTCGGTGGGCAAGAATTTACTGCTTATAAACTTCAATCTTCCATGAATCTCGTACATTCATAACTGCTCATGGCGTATCAAATGTAAACAAATGACGTCATACATTAAGAATTGGACAAAGTCAGACAATTTATTAATATAAATATATATATATATATATATATATATATATATATATATATATATATATATATATATATATATATATATATATATATATATATATATATAAGCGTACGGTGGAGTAATGGATAGCGGTTTGATTATGGAATCGGAGAGCCGAATTCAATTCAGTCGAATCCATTACGTGCTAATACCCTTGGGAAAGGTGTAGAATCCTCCAGAAGGACAGACTGGGTTCTATATCCTTGAATGGCACATTCTCTAGGAGACGGACAACTCTCAATTTATAGTCTACGGTGGGTCGTTTGGGGATCCTGTGGCACATAGTGCACCAGGTTTCTGTATTCGGCCCTTCACTACTCTAATCAAATCCCATGTGCTGGTGTCGGGCTGTCAGTTCCCTAGGAACTGATCTGCTTGACCTTCATACGACGAATTCGACGGGGAGAGTCGAGTATAGGAGACCAGAAAAGATTTCCCGCCGAAACTGAAAGGTTTGGTCATTTTTTCAGATTATGGGAAAATGGTTGATCCTCGAACTTTTCAGAATTTTTCGTTTCTGTGTCAACAAAATATAAGTGAAAGTAAGAAAAAAAATGGCCATTGCAGAAAGCAAAAACGGC